TTTGATTGATAGAGTATATAAATAATTATTCCCCTCGATGGTATAAGTTAATTTAAAAGCAAAGAGTTGTTGTACCTTCTGGTTGATAGGCTTTAGCAACTACGACTATAATAGAATTGATTTTTTTTTTTGTTACAACGACTATTATAGAATTGATTAATAAAATATTTTGGTTGCACTAATGTTATCAGGCAAGGTGATCATAAAATTATACAGTATATTTTCCCTTGTTACAAGGCAAAATTAAAATTTTCAAATTTGGATGGAACAAGTTTTCTTGGTTGACACCATACACCCAAACAAATAAAAAAAGAAAAAAAGAAAAGAAAAGAAAAGGAGTTTTCTTGGTTGACCAATATTTCGAAGACAAGTTGCTTGTTTTTGAAAAATAAAATAAAATAAAAACGTTTTGAAGACAAGAATTCTTAAAGTTGAAAGATGATTCCTTGATTGAAGCACGAAGCAAAGCCCCAAAACTCTGCTGTCATCATGCAATGTGCCGCGTAAGACAGAAAGGTTTCCAGTGATTGGTGGGGCGGCGCCACGTTGGATTTGGATAAGCACTTGCAGCAATTGTGTTCGGCCCCGAAAAATAAAAAGATACTAATATTTAATAATAAATTAAATACTCTTCTATTCAATTTTTTTTGCCAACCTCTTTTTTTTTTTTTGTTCATGGGGGACCTTTCAATTCAATTTAAGTTAGCTTATTTTTTATTAATAAACAAAAATGATGATCGATTAATAACATTATATATTTAAGAAATGAAATGTTAGTATTTAGATTTAATTGATTAAGAGTTCGATTCTCATTAATTATTTACAAAAATCTTCATTCCCCTATAATTCTTTATGTTAAAAAAATTTAGAATATAAATGTGTAATATTATAATATATGTTATAAGGACAATTAAAGGTTTGATTTAGTGCTCCGATCTAAATATTTCAATGATCATCTCTTTTTGCTTGAAGTAAAAAGTCTTGAGTTGGAGTTACATAACATTTGAGTAGAGTGAGATAAAAGATGAGAAATGATTGTCTCTCATTATGTAATCAAGATAAAAAAATGTGATTTAGTTATCTTATTTTATCCATTCTTTATTACTATAGTAATTAAAATTTATTTTTTTATTTTCACACTTATCAAAATAAAAAAATCTTAAAAGTATTTCTATTTTTTTAGATAATGATAAAATTGAATATTAGAATTTATTTATAAGAAAAAATTTAAAAATTTTTTGAAAAAAATGTAGTAATGTCTTCTTAAAATAGAAGGGAGTGGTGTTTATCAAGTAGATATATATTTAACGAAAAGAAGAAAAATACATTAAAATTATATTGTTTTATTTTTTTTAACACAATAGTAAGATTCGAACTTTATATCTCTAAACTCATGAGATTATCCTTAATAACACATAGGTAATCATTGAATCACAAAAACTTCTTTATTATGCTGTTTTATTAAAATATTATAAAAAATAAAATAAATTTAATCATAATTTAAAAATAAATGATCTTAATCTTTCTCAATAGGGGCCTTATTAAAATACCACAATTTTAAAATATTTTATTTCATAATGCTTGAAAATTTTCATTAACAAATATTTTTTCTCACAATAAAATATTAAGTAGGACTAGAATGGAGCAATAAAAGAACTCATGCCAAGGGGGGCAAGGGTGGTGTTGGAAGGTGGTGGGACCCGCATAAACAGGGAAGCGTGTTTCTGGGAGGGGTGTCGTGCAGTGCAGGGAGGAAATAGGAATAGGAATAGGAATAGGCGTGTCGCGTGTGTGTGTCTGTGTAAAGAAAAATACGGTGCAGCCAGCATTCAGGCAGTCCTTATCCGTTAAAAGGGAAGAAAAAGAAAAGTGGGGATGGAGGCTTGTAGGTCCCACACATACTTGTTAGGAATGTTCACTTCCCATCTCCTCTTTATCCGTTTCTTCTCTCTCTTCTTTTTTTTCTTTTTTTTTTTTATAATTCAATTCAATTTTCATACAATTTCTATTTTCTGATTCAGCGCTTCTGTTGGGCTTCACTTAGGCCCATGTTTACCTTACAAGTTTCATCATACAATACGAATCACAAACCCATGGGCTTCAACTAGGGATATGAATTTCCTTCCCAACCTATGGAGCTCCATGAAACTCATTCCGTAGTAAGGGTGGAAGTTCTCAAAATATTTCATTTCATGAGATAGGGGGTATAATTAAATTTTTTTCTCACATAATTTAGCAAGAAATTTCTCCTACCTGTGAATCCCTATATGGAACCATAAATTGATAAAAAAAATTATAATTTATATTTTTTAAATTATTAATAAATTAAAATATCTCAACTCTTAAATTTATAAATTCTAACCACAAATACTTTAAATCTCTTATCTCCACTCTTTCTTTTCTTAGTTCCTCCTTATCTTACCTTTTTGTTTGATAGGTTTATTTTATTTGCATTTAACTTACTTTATTTATTTATTTTTGATAGGCAAAACTTACTTTATTTTATTTTATTTGATTCATTTTTTTAAACAAAAAACTTAGAAATAACTAGTTTTTTAAAATGTTTTTAAACTTTTATTTTTCTTGAGCTAAGAACTGAATAAATCAAAGTATTTTTGTATATTTTTACAAAAATTCTCTATATTCACAGGGATCAAGATGGAGGGCATTTTTTACTTTCATAAGAAATCTATACAAGGATTTTTGTATTTGTAAGTGACAAGGACAAGAATAAAGAGAGGGCTCCACCCACGAGACCCTTTTCCATCCATAGTTTTAGGAACTGAATCAATTGTGTAAAAATTTAATAATTAAGATTATAATTTAGGGGTCTTTTATTTAAATTTTGAATTAGCTACATAGTAATTTTTTGTACATTCTATCATAAAATGTATTAAAAAATTCACAAGCCAAATGCTATTGAAAGACTCTTCAGATAAACATGCAAGAAATGTGAAAATTTGAAACAAATATCTAATTTTTATATTAATTAAAGACCAAACATTTCTTTATCATTTTTCTTGTGGGATTTTTCCCACTTAACAAACAAATGCGAAATATGACCTCTTATACTTAGAAATATGCTTTTCTCATCAAGGAATACAAAAAAATTTTGAGTTTCTTCATATAAAAAATGCTGACAGAGGAAAAACAAACACAGAGGACAAAAAACATATGATGTTGAATCTGGCTTGTTGCCTCTCTTCTGTTGCACGTTATTCTGTTTAATTAAGCCTTGGAGCCAATGGATGATTTCTTTGCAAAAGCAGGCAAACAAAATGCAGCAGAGTGGACCTGAAACAGAAGTAATGAACTGAAATTGAAAAAAACAGTCATCTCCAGGACCTACGTTATTTGGACAAGTCGATTCAAGAATCATTTCTGTACCATTTTAATGAAAAAGAGCAAGAGAACGGTACCTCTGAGTTGTAAAATTTCAAGGGTCCTTCTGCCACACCAGAAACGTGATCAGGATTGATAGGGTTGATAGGATTCTTGAAGTCGACATGTGGCCCCTCAGTGGAACAAAGCATGAAACCAATCACCCCACTGCAATGAAGACTGTTCTTAATTAGCATAATATATAGTTATTCCTTACT